GGCATGCACTCCACATAATGGGGGACTGGGCCATGCATGCATATAGCACAACACATTGGAGGGTATGGATAGTGTCAATTGACATTGCTATAGTTGTGGGAATCACATAAAGTACATGATTTGATGACATTTGCTGATAGAATTACTGGGATAGTTGTGGGTTATTTCATTAACCTTATTATTGTTCCTTTTTCTGTTCCTTTCCAGTCAAATGATATGGTCTGCATAGTTGTCCAACAAGTTTTTTTTTCTGATACTGATATGTATTAATTCAATCAGTTCTAGTGGGCTGGTCATCAGATGCACATAACTTGTACTTGCAAGTGAAGGGACTTTGACTGTCAACATTAAGTATTTGTAATGACTGTTGGTCTATACCCGTTCGACATTTAGGGTAGTTAACATTATTTGTGCTAGCAATATCTAATTCAGCTTTAGAAATTCTTCTTCTACAAAGTATCATGCATCATAAGAAAAATCAGAACCTAATGATTGTTGTAATTGGTGACAAAGTCTAGTGCCCCAATGATAGGTATCATGTGGCACATATGCTGCTTGATTACTGGATTATACTATAAGTATTATATGTAAGCACAACATTCAAACATGTTAAGCTTTGGTTGAACTCGTTCAAATGTGAATGAAAACCACGAGCATCAAATTCCATCAAGCACAATACTATTACATTTAAATTAATTATTGTACAATGTAGGTAACATATTGTTAAAATGACAGCCTTGTCTTGATTGGTAATTATTAATAAATATATGTGAATTTTACAATGGGTATCCTTAGCGGACTATTTACTCAGAATAAATGTGATCTCATCAAATAAGTGCATATCTATTTCTAAGGTTAGCGCAGAAACGTGTTTAATAAAATTCTCAACATAAAGAGAGAGATTTGAGGGAGATTTAGATAGAGTGACCATGGCAACTCAATAATTATGTTCATATCTAATTCACGGTGATCGAATGTGAAAATTAAGTTGTAGTATAACATGATTTTTCTGGTGGTAGATATTTTCATTTGTTTTTATATTGCTTATACATTTATACACATATATTGTGATTCTGAGATGTGTAACTAAGTATCGGCATCCCATGACAAAATGTGTTGTTTATTGCACTTTCTAGGTGTCGCATACGACTTGTTTACCACTTCCGTGTGACTGAGAATGTTCTAGAACCGTACTGTGTCTGGGTGGAATTTTTAGAAGTTGGTTGAATAGGTAATAGAACACTGTAGAAGGCAATAGAAGGTAATGGAACATTCTAGAAATTTGTAGTAAGTTCCAGACTCATTATGTATGCTGATGTAATGGTCTATTTATAGACAGTGTGGGTATATATAAGGGAGTTGTTCAGCACTGAGATCAGATCGGAGATCTCGTTGAATTGTATTGGAGTTTAAGTATCTAGTTATTGGAGTAGTGGAGTTTGACCGTGTTATTGTACTTGATGTTTGCAGAGTATAATAATACCAGTACCAGTTGAAACCTCATCTGTTGGCTACGTGTTCGTATTTTATCATCGCCGCCAGGGAAGTCTTTTTGTTACTGTTGCCATTTTGATATTTGAACCATCACACCTGTACTATACCAATTACGGTAATATTACGTTGCGTGTGACACTAGGTTATTGTGAAAACACATAAACTTTGACAGGTCCCTTATTTGTCACAGAATAAAAACTATGTCATGTAACACGGGAACTTGTGAGAGATATTTGAGGTTATTCGATACCCCTTGTTGACCTTTATG